TACTGCTGAGCCGCACCCTCAGGCACCACATATTTCTGAAGTCACCACCAAAAGGAGTGGTTCTTCATTCATTCACTCAGGCAGTTTTCCATCTGGGGAACAATGAAAGTAAGATGGTTTTGAAGTGGTTTCTCACAGGACAAATAGGCAAAAGCCCAGAAATTACAGAATCAAAACTGGAAGAGAGACCCGAGATAACAGTTTTACTTGATTTTAGCTGGGCATGGTGGCACATGCCCATAATCCCAACAACTCAGGAGGCTGAGGCAGGCAGATTGCAGTTTGAGGCCAGCCTCAGGAGCACAGTGAGATACTATCTCAAAAAATAGAAAGGACTGGGGTGTAGACCACCCCTGGGTCCAATCCCCAATATAAAACCAAAATAAGACAAAAAGCCCAAAACCAAATCATGAACTTTTACAAGCTCTGAATTCCTGCTTTTCTTAATGCTTTTGGAGACCAGCAACACATCTACATTTCCAGGTGGCAAAGTTGGCAAGAGCCAAGAAGCAAGTACACCCCTGTTCTTTCTTTTGGTGGTAGTGGGAACTGAACCCAGGGTGCTCTACCACTAAGCTACATCCACAGTTCCCAGTCTTTTTTTTTTTTTGAAATGCTAAGTCACTGAGGTTCTCTCTAATTTGTTGAGGCTGTCCTTGAACTTGTGATTCTCCTGCCTCAGCCTCCCTGAGTTCCTAGATTACAGACGTGCACCAGCATGATTGGCAAGCTGCACCCTTTCAATGAGACACAAACTTTTCTGCTCACCCCAGTCCCCTGCACTTATCTTATACCTGAGCAGCTGCATGCATATCAGCTCCCTGGCTCCTATTTACAATGCATTAACTCGGGCTAGGGTTGTGGCTCAGAGGTAGAGAGCTTGCCTAGCATGCATGAGGCACTGGGTTCAATCCTCAGCACCACATACAAAAATAAAGATATTATGTCCACCTATACCTAAAAATAAATATTTTTAAAAATCCTTTAACTCAGCATTATCAATAGAACTTTCTACAATGATGGAAATATTCTAAATCTGCTATCTTTAGACTAATCCCATGTGACAATTGAATACTTGAAATGTGGCTAATTTTATCTGCTGGGTGTAGTAGCGCATGCCTGTAATCTCAAGGACTCTGGAGATTGAGGCAGGAGGATCCCAAATTTGAGACCAGTCTCAGGAACTTAGGGAGACCCTAAGCAACTTAGTCAGATCCTGTCTCAAAAAATAAAAGGGGCTGAGGGTGTGGCTCAGTGGTAAAACATGGGTCTGGCATGTATCAGAGCCCTGGTACTCCCCGGCCATTTTGTTTTTATACCGGGGTTTGAACCCAGGGGTGCTTAACCAATGAGCCATATCCCCAGCCCTTTTTATTTCATTTTTATTTTGAGACAGGGCATTCCTTGCTAAGTTGCTGAGGCTGGTCTCCATCTTGCAATCCTGTGATTATAGGTGTGTGCCACCATGCCCAGCCCCTCAAATTTTTTAAAATATTAAATAGAAAAATGAGGCTAGCTGATCCTATAATGAACAGTATGGCTTTAAGCAGTTGAGACCCAGATAGAGTCAATGAGTCACTCAGGGCCACAAAACAAGTTAGTGATACTATCAGCATTAGATGGATTTCTGGTCCTTTTTTCGTGCAGTGGGACACGAATTCAGACTGCCTGGGGTTACAACTCGTTGCCTGCCTCATCCATTTCCTTCTGGTCTTTTCTCCCATTTCTCCCAGCTGGTGGCTTTCCACATCACATGGTGGTTACCCTGCTACTTTCTTTTCTCTTTTTGGTATGGAGATGTAACCCGGAGCACTTTACCATTAAGCCCAAATCCCCAACCCATTTTTGCTTTTTATTTTGAGATGGGGTCTCACTAAGTTACTAAGGCTGGCCTCAAATTTGGAATCTTCCTGCCTCAGCCTCCTGAGCTGCTGGGATTATAGGCATGTGCCACTGTGCTGGGTTTCTCATTCTTTTATCTTGTAATTTTGTATGGAATATGACTTTGATACTTTCTCTGGCTCATTTTTACTTGATGTTAATTTCCCTAACTTGTAGGAAGATGGCTTTTTCAACTTCAGGGCTCTCTTTCCTGTGTTTGGAGAACCAGGGGCTCCATTTCAATCTCTTGGCCCTGTTCTCCAACGGGCTCTTATCCGAGCCTTCTTTGCTTTTTCTTGCTTGTTCTGCTAGGCTTTGCTTCCATTTTCTAGTTGTTCCACAACATGATCTGGGCCCTACCCTGGAAGGACTCCTTGCAGGAATCCTTCAGCTAGCACTGCCTGGACCCTGGACCCTGGATGGTGGCTCTAATCCCTTATTCAATGGGTGACCTTATGTGAGTCACTTTGACCTCCCTGAACCAGCTTCCTCGCCTACAAAAAGTGGACAGATAATAGCCTCTTACTTCAGCATCCTGAGATTAAGTTTATATACAAAATGCCCAGAGCAGCTCCAGGTTCTCTTTAAGCACGGAGTATTTTGCTGTGGAGGGACAGTGTCCAAGGCCCAATTTCCCTACCCAGCACCACAGGTCCCTTCTCCACCTGGCATTCTGCCCTAAGCCACACTTGTTTGCTGACCAGGAAAGTGACAAGTCTTGTGTCACCCCAGCTGCAGGACTAGAGGCATAGCAAAGTAGGGGCTTCTGACAGCCAGGTGAAGCTTTCCCAGGGACTGCTTTGCCAGGTTCTCTGCAGGGTGGAATCATGGCCAAGAAACCAGATGGGGCAAGAGGAAGTGGTCCGGCTGTAGGCACGGAGGTGCGGCAGGGTTCTGAGGCCCCACAGGGAAGATTTGAACTCTAGAAGGCCACATAGGCTGGAAGCAGGCTGTGGGAGCAGGCTCGATTGGCTCCTTATTGGGCCATCTCCCCCCTCCCTGAGGGCTGAGGCCTCTTTACCATCTGCCACTCCAGCTGGGCCCAGTCAGGGGGGCCAGAGCCTCCAGAGCCTCGCCCAGCTCTGACTCAGCTAGAGTCCTCCTCATAGCTGACCATGCTGGGCTCCTGCCTCACTGGGAGAACAAGCCCCGGCTTCAGTACCCTCAGGCCCCCATCTTATCCCTGGCCACCTCACCTGCCCTAAAACTGTGCCTTTCACCTAGACTGCTTGCCAAATTCTCTCAGAGCAGGTCTTGACATTACACTATATCTGCGATCACATTTGTGACAAGTCTCAGATTCAGACTTTTGTGGCTTACCAGATGACATGCACAACACGTTAGAGCATTTTATATCCAATATATCAAGGCCCTCAAAAGTTAATGGTAGGTTGGGTGCAATGGTGCATGCCTGTAATCCCAAAGGCTCAAGAACCTGAGGCAGGAAGATCATGAGTTCAGGGCCACC